AAAATATTCCTACAAAATGGCAGAAACCTTTGCTAAACAAAATTATGAACGTAGGAATATTTTGATGCTTCCTGACATATCTGCCGTCCAGGTATACATGATTCTTAAGTTTACACCACCTCCAGACGGCAATTTGGGCTTTCTTGTTTTTAAGGGACGCAAATCGTGTTCCTTCTAATGCCGAGTTTTGGAACGAAAAAGAAGTCTGAGGGGCAAGATTAGAGGGGAGGTGGGTGGGGTAAAAATTCCCAACAAAATTCTTACAGGACTACCCTGGTTAGCCTGGAAGAGACACCGCATGGACTGTGGTCGACGGGGAAAAGTCCTCTGCACGACTGTGCTGGCCTTGTTCTCATGCGTGCAGTTTCCATGTTCTTAACACCACTTCATAATGAGTCCCCAGGAGATCATTCTACGTTCTTTGAGAACGTCTGTCACGATAACCTCTTTGGAATTCCCAAACAGCAGGTGCGCAGCCTGAGTCGGTCGACCTCTCGATCTTGAGTGAAACTGGCCCAGCAGATCCTTCTCGGGACCAACCCTTGGGGGGAAGCACCCTAACGAGACCAAGACAGGTGTATCATGGAGAGGACATGTCCGCAGCCAGTCACGAATCGCTGAGAGTTTAAACATGCTTTGCTTGGAAGCAGAACCCCAGTAGCAGTACGTTTTGACTTACATGCAGAAATGCATCGTGATCATCAAAAGTCTGGTCTCAAAAACATAAGAACTGATCACCATGCAAAGTCTATTAATTTATGTATCGTCATTTTTAAAACGAGGGGGCAATGCCATGAACCCAACAGAACCAAAATTTCCCTTGGCAGACGTTAACACCTACCCTAAAGAAAAGCCCAATTCTTACACACTAGAAAAGGGGATGTTCATTCCTAAAACCCACCTGACCAGAACCCCAGCATTCCCATGATGAGCAGCATCGTGACCGCAGTGCTCGTGCTCCAAGCAAAAGCACGCAGGCAAGAAAACGAAAACAAAAACATTAACATCAGGAAAAATCATTCATCAGTTGCAGGCAATGACTGCCTACTTAGAACTGCAATGTCAAGCACAGCAGCCAGTAACCACTTGTTACTGAGCACTTGGAATGTGGCTAGTTTGAACTAAGTTATCCTGTAAGGGTAACATACATGCTAACTATGAACACCTACTACAAAAAGAAAATGAACTGAGAAGGAAAAAAGTATCAATATTTTAAAATACTGACTATATGTTGAAATGTACATATATACTGGTATTTGATATACTAAGATTGTTGAAATGTATGTATATACTAATATTTTATATACTAAGGTAAATCACTCAAATTCATTTCACCTCTGTCTTTTTAATAAGGCTAACCAAATATTTAAAATACATCTGTGATTTACATTCTATTTCAACTTAACAAGCTGCTCTGGGATAGCAAAGAGAATCAACTGAGACACTAGTAGAATTGATAGGAAAATCTGGCATAGTTCTATGGCCAAAAGATCAATGGCCTTCTGATTCACAAGTTATATATAGTTAGAAACTATATTCCATTCCAATCACAACAGCAACAAATTCAATAAAATATTAGCACTGAGATAAAATATGTAAACCCTTTAGTCACATAACCACAGTACTTGAGTAAATTAATGTAGGGACACAAAATGTCCCAAGACAAAAAAACTCAATGCTATAAAAAATGTCAAGTTTCTCCCTACATTAATCTAAAATAGAATACAATCCCCATCAAAGTGCAAACAGGGATGTCTTACATATCTTATAATACGCCAATAAAATATTGTCAGAGTAAATAAATACATAAAAGAAAAAAATGTTTTAAGAAAAACTAGAATGGGGGAATGCTCCCCATCAGAAAATTTTAACCATGCTACATTCACATAAAATTGTGGTATTGGTAGTTCAGCAGATAAACACAGGTCAATCAAGTGAGTTCAGAAACCACAGTCATTTGAGAATTGAAGTTTATGATACTGGTAGAAGTCCATCTGTGAACAAAGTAAAATCCCATAAATGGTATTGGAATTATGTCTCAATAACTGTCTCCAGTATTTATTTATAGCAGTATGTACAAGAAACGAAGGTGTATAGTAGATTACATGCTGGGCTCCTAACCAAAAGGGCAGCAGTTCAAACCCCCTGGTCCTCTGTGGAGAATGATGAGGGGAGCCACGGCTCCTGTAAAGATGGACAGTCTCAGAAGCCCTAATGGACAGGTCTGCTCTGTCCTATTGGGTTGCTATGAGTCAAAACAACTCGTGGCAGTGATTTTGTGTGCAACTAAAGAAATTTTAAATAATATGATTAATGATTTGATTACTTAAATACTAGATATTCTCATATGATGAAAGATACATAAAGCTATAAGACAAAAATAACAGACAAGGGGAAAACATGTGCAACACGTGTAACAGAAAATGAGTCTTTTAAAGGCTGCTTAACAAAATCAGTAAGAGACAGAGGAAAACGAATTATTCAAAATAAAACTGGGCAATGAAAGCCTAAGGCAATAAAAATTTTTAATAGTATGTTCCATGAGAACAGCCTTAAAAAAATGTTTAAAGGCAGGTAGCATCAAGTGTCAGTGAAAGTATAGAAAACTGTCAGCTAAGAGAGCACAGCAGTACAGGCTTTGCGGAAGATACTAGTGGCTCTCATTAAAATCAAGCATCTCATCAACCCAGCAGTTCTTTTTATCTCAGAAAATACTTGAACAGGTCCACAAAACGTATGTGTGAGTGTCAACTGCAACAATGTTTATAACGGTCAAATCATGGAAACACTGTACGCAATATTCACCAACAACTGGTTACATCAACTGTGGCTAGTCTCTACTGAGGGATGCTACACTACTGTAACAGAGAGACGTTTATGCACTAAGCAGAATACTTAGTGAAGAGTAATATAGAGAAAAACGGATGTAAGAATTTTAAAAATCACGTAACTACATGTGTGTGTTATGCGTGTAAATACATTTTAACAAACAAACAAGACACACAACATATCATGGCAATAGAAGTGACCTCACACACGGATGGCAGTTCATGGAATGCAGGAAGACTGTCTTTATCTGTGTAGTCGGCGTCTTCACCAAGATATCCATTTATTTCTTTAAAAACAGTGTTAACAGAACAATACTGACCTACCTCGTCAGTAGGTCATGACTCCCACCTAGCACCTTGATGTTAGTTGTTGCTAGACATACATTATTAATAAATGCACCAAACAGCCAGTTAACAGATTTTCTATTATTTTGAAAATGAAAAGTGCTGGATAACAACAGTTGATGAGTGAGAAGTAGGTGTGGTTCATTGTAGAATTTGCTAACTTCTACATAACTGATACATTATTTTTCTTTAAAAAAAATAATTTTATTGGTGGTTTGTACAACTCTTATAATAATCCATACATCCATCGTGTCAAGCACATTTGTACAATTGTTGCCATCCATCATCATTCTCAAAACATTTGCTTTCTACTTGAGCCCTTGGTATCAGGTCCTCATTTTCCCCCCTCCCTCCCCACTCCCCCTCCCTCATGAACCCTTGATTATTTGTAAGTTATTATTATTTTGTCATATCTTACATTGTTCAATGTCTCCCCTCACCCACTCTTCTGTTGTCCATCCCCCAGGGAGGGGGTTATATGTAGATCCTTGTAATTGGTTCCCCCTTTCTACCCGACCTTCTCTCCACCCTCCTGGTATCGCCACTCTCACCACTGGGGTTCTGAAGGGTTCATCTATCCTGGATTCCTGACATCATGTCTTATATCATTGTAAATACCAAGCATTTTCTGTAAGTTTTGAAATAATATGAACTTACAGGAACCTGCTGTTTGAAGAGAAATAAAGTTTTCCTCACTTGCTCCTTGCCCCACCCCTCCTCCAAAAAGACACCAACTCTCAGAGGCTCCCGGAGGACACACAGGCACCTCAAAGAGCCTATGTGGTAGAAACCTTCAGAAACCAGTCGGAAGGTTTCGGTCTGGTTTTAATTGTAGGAAGGACTTTAAGATGACTGTGGAAGGTAAGACTTTTTTGGGGGGTGGAAATGACTAGCTTAAAACGATCATCTAAGAATGGATCTGTACACCACTCAAACTCACATTCATTCCAAACAACGCGCCTGGTACAGTTGAGAAGCTTGAGATAAGGAGTAAGGAAATCGAAATCGTAGCTGAGCGCGCAATCACAGTCATGATGTGCTCTGTGGCCGATTTGTTTATTGGGAACAAACTTTCAGTCCCTTCCCGCCACTCGG